CGGCGGCGGCGGCTGATAGGACGAACGAATAATAATTACATCATGCTCTCGTGAGTACCCCCCGCGGGATGTTCTCGAAATTATCGATCGCTGCCAATGTGCTCGGCGGCGGTAATTAATACCACGCGATATACTCGACATAGGACGGATCGGCCGATATTCTTCTCGTTCGCTCTCGACGGAACTGATGGGCGACGTGGGAACGCACGCAGAACCGCGCCAACGGTGCGCGGCGATGAGATTATTGATTGTTTCTGTAACGCGGAACGCAAACATCGCGAATGAGGAATTGTGGTATCGATACTTCAATGATGCTAGGAGAACAAGTCGCATTTGCAGTCTCACTGCGTAGGTAGCGTTAATAGACGCATCGACGAGCGATCGATTGAAGAAGACTTAGATGACTCGACGCAATTGCCTCGGTAAATAAACAGCATTTCTGTATTAATCGAAACCTGAATTTTCGCGTACTGTTAGTTTAATGTGTGACGAATGTTTTGTGTGTACACAAGAAGTAAGTTACTTACTAATCCAATTCTGTCCGTTTAATGGCGCGAATTCATCATAACAAGCATTACGAGGATGAGATCTCCTCATTTTCAATACCCTATTTAAGCTTTTACGCTCGAGACGAGTTTATGTCACTTTGGGTAATTCAGTTAAGAGCTTCTGAAAGAGCGTTTAAATATTTCAACAGCTGTTTAGCCGTCGCTTAAAGAAATGTCTCGTAAATCATGCAATAAAACAACACTTCTTTAAAATGATGACACTTGCTGAAGAACGAGCAATGGCAACCGGAACCAGATAATTTCCCCGATCGTGAAAAAGTGAGTAAATCGGCGTGAGTTCCACGGTTGCAATCATCGCTTAACGATAGTCGACTCCCTCTTAGCGGCGCAACGATAAATTAATTATTATAATTACATATATGCCATTATCCCATTATCCCGTTGACAACCGATGCAATCGCGAAGGCTCGAATTCCGTTGCGCGTAGGATAAGATGAATTTTCCTCTTTAATACCTCCGCGAGGTATTTATAATTATCTTACGTGCACAACATTCTCTCTAGGATTGCTATCAACGCATCATCCTTGTCATCGTCTAACATATTGTAGAAGAAGACGAATCGGCGACGCAAACCGTTACGCGATGATAATTATCGTTTAATCGTTCCAATGATGCAGACGGATACATTTCCATTTCTTCTTAATTTATTCTTTTGCCTTAATGCGAAAATAATGAGATTACATTACGATCGTCGTTAAATCAGGTTTCGTGGGTACGCCATACTGACCGTATGTACATGATGTTTTATAGTAAACTAAATTTTAGATTAGATGTTGCAATTAAGCTTGTTGTATTAACGTCTTTGGGCTATAAATTTAAATTTATTTAAAAACATTTAATGACACTAGCCTGCGGATTGAAGCTTTGTGAACGTTGCCTGTGAACTTGTAAGTAAAATGTTTTAATATAAAGTTGATACGCTGAGTCTGAAAATCAAATCCATTTGTTGCTATAACATAAGGAATTTTAGCAAAATCTCAATAGCTATGTATAATATTGTACAATTACATGTATAATATGTGAAAAAAAATTGTATGAAAAATATCATACTTATAAATATAAAATATTTTAAACATACATTATATATTTTCGAATTTAAAAAACTTTAAATATAATAGAATAAATAAAACAAAATGATAAAAACATATTACAATATCCGATGCAATAAATTTATCACAGACTAGTATAATTTAAATTCAAATTTAGTTAGTAATAAAATTAATGATGAGATTAAAAGTTAGATATGCAGAATATCTATGTGAGAGCACTATTATCTTCTCGATTACTGATTGATCCAAGTATGCCAAAGTATCGTGACTCGTATTATTTAATCTCTTGTGCTCTCCGCTATGATGCGAGTAATTCCTCTGCGACTCCACAATCTAAGTAGTATGCTGAAAGCATTCCACTTTTTCAAACGACTGCTTAATCGTCCGAGATGAAACGGTGACTGTCCGTCTCGTAACCTAAGTAATATGCGCTTAAAGTTTTCAACGATAACGTCTCAGAAAACCACGGTCAGCCGATTCCCGCGACCCTGGGAAAATCGCAAAGGGGAGAGCGATCAAACCGCACTGATAACGGCTATTCAACTATACTGGCGGTAATTATTATTGTTACGTGATGAAAGTACAGATAATTTCTACTGTCTTGAAAATAGTAGAGCGATACATAGTCCGCATTTGTACCAAGGTCTAAGTATAAAAGATTCAGCGACATGACGTGTACTACTTATAAACTCTCGTTCAGTCTCTCGTTGCTCAGTATGCACGAAGCGTCTCGCTTAACTCTTAACTCCTTAATCTTTTCGAGATGGAAACATCTCGAGATTAAAGTTAGATAATTAGCGCGGCCAAAGATTGCGGTGAGAAGATTATAGATTATAATATATTAGTTCCATATTTTATATCTCGGCCATGACACTCCAAATTCAAATGTGTAATAAGTGTCTTTATACATATATGTGTATGATTTAATTTTCCGTGTAAAAATAATACTACATTAAACTATACAAAAAAAACGGAGATTTACATATTTAAGTATGTAGTATTATTTTTACAGAAAAAAATTAAATTACACACATATATAAAAGTGCTTGTTACATCCTTAGATTTGTAGTTAAGTATAAAACAGTCCCACAAATTGATAAATTAAATAACAATGTTAATATTTTGTTTATTCTCTTTTGTTATTTATTGTCGCGTGTCTTTTCCAAGAAAATGCAATAAATTGAGGTTGCAATACAAATCACAGACCTTCGCTGAAACAGTCATAGGGTGATTAAAAGCATAGGGAAGAAAAGTTGCTTATGGAATATATGAATGCAAGGTTAATTATCAAATTAATTATCAAATGCAATAATTTCATAATTTGAGAAGGAATTTTACATTTTGCAATCCCTTAAGTGTAAGCCATGAATGAACCAGACTAATAGCGAGAGGAGCAGTAAAAAATGAAAAACTGCATGAACTATCGTGTACACTTAATATCGACCTAATTAGATCCAAGAGATGAGAAGATGAAGATTGATATGAGCAGTTGCCCCGGTACGGGGGGTCACTGAGCGCGTGCGAATAGCGCGAGGCTCCCGATTACACCGAAAAGGTCTATAAACGGCAAGTAAGTGTGGAGGTAAGAAACTCATTTGAGGTTCACGTAGAAGTGGCAAGGGAACGAGGCTGCGTTGGAAGCAACAGCAGTAGCAAGAGAGATGAGTCACATCCTAGATGAAGCCGCGATGAAGGAAAAGAACGTGAAAACCAGAAGACGTGCCGTTGCGAGTCACCTTTGCGGTGCTCTTACTTCACCGATTACATGTAATACGTTACTTATGCTTTTCCGCGTTACTTAGGCTTTCATATTCACGATACATGTACATATAACACACACATACATGTGTATATATATACATATTATATATATATATATGTATATATTATTATTAAATCTGAGGGTTGTCTCTTCTTTCCTGCCTAATCGCATTCTTTCCGTGCCATTGTTACGATCGTCTTGTCCGCTTGACGTTTCGCGGAGGCTTCTGTTAGTGTCGTAATCGCTTTCCTGCGTATAACAGCCTTCGCATCATCGTCCTTGGTCGCCACACTAGCGTAAGAGAGTTACGTTTGAAACAATAACTCTCCCAAGTCACATTTTACATAAGAGCAATGCCCTCATACAATACACTCCGAATTTAAAGCGAAAAATTTACATACTAATCTACATAGTTCATAAGATTTTGCATTTTGTAACGCAACCTCGAGAATTTCGGTGCCTCGCGACGCGAGGCTTACATATCGAGCCAGCTTTTTACGTAACTTTAATACAAATTACATATTGTTACAGATACATCTGCGTCTGGATGTTGACGGTGGTCACGCTGAGGTGTCAGGTATATATCTCGCTTGTAACATTACGCACAAGAGAACTTGCAAAGGATACGGGTTTTCATAAGATACGATTTTTTTTCAAAGCCAACCAGTCATGAGAACGCAGAGGTGGAGGGAAACTCCGAAGATTCTGTTATCGACGACACGACCGAGGATTATTGGGCAGGCAGTGGATCGGGACCCGACGAGGATGAGACCTCCTCCTCTCACAACGAAACCAGAGAAGCGTTAACTCACGAGGCCAGCGACCACGATACTGTAAGTCACGCATCGCCAATTTGTTTCGCGCTGCGCTCTTTCTTATTGAAATTCATGATAGATATTACACAAGAAATTTCTCCCCGATCTGTTATTTCTTTGTTCCGTTAACTTTATAGAAACATTTACTTATTTTTTCGTATAACATTGATTGGTGAAAACAGCATATACAAGAAAAATCAATAAAACACCAACAACATTGGTACCATTAAATTTAAATTGCCCAGAAGATCATATTTTGCAATCAGTGTTGTAAGATTTTACTGCACAACTTTAAAAAATCAACTTGCTAATTTGTTGATTGAGATAAAAAAATTACTTTAACGTCGCAATTTTTGCTTATTATATTATTAAGTTATCAAAGCCAGACATTTCAATAGGCAGTAAAATCTTTCTATCGGGAGTACTGCAGATTTCTGACAATAAATATCGTAGCATGTGACAACAAAGAGGAAAGTGAGAGAAGTAAGAAGAAAGGTGTGCGCGCATCTGCCGTACGTCCAGTTATATTTAATTGGCAAACGGTTTCCTCGAAAGTGGATTAAAAAAAAAGAGTTAAACGAGAGCGGAATGGAAAAAAGGAAGTGAATGATACTTGCCCATCTGTTCAGTTTTGCGTGATTTCTCGTTAACGAATGCTCGCTCGCAAGGCCGGAGCAGAATCTAGATGCAGGTGTTCTGCATCCGCTATGATATTCAAGAGAGTAAAAAAGGGAAGTGCCGACAGTTAACCGCAGCAAAGACGACGCCTCGGTCGCCGGCGTGTCCTCGATCGAGCGGAAAAATCCTACTAAAGATCCACGGATGACGCGGTCGATCGTCTTGCTTTCCTCTCTTCGTGTGACTCTCGTCTTCGCTGCGATCGGTATCGATAAAATCGCGAAAGATCAGTTTTGTAATTGATTTTCAACAAAAATCAATTATTGTATACAAGCGCGTTTACTCTATCCCCGTAATCTTCCTCCTTTCCGTGGCACGTAGAAAATTCTGCAGGCCTTTTCTAAATGAAGGGCAGAAGGGCCAGAAGGTTGCCTAGTTAGACCTGGTACATCAACACGAAAAGTACCAAAGGGAGGAGAAGCAGAATAAAGACCATTCCTTTGATTTTAATCGCTCTTTATCGATGATCTACGGATTGCTTTTAAACTAGTTTTTAAGCGGAATCGATTCCGATCGCGAAAAAATATGAACCAGTTTTCCAGTAGAATAGAGAGAAAGGGTATCGCGGCTCGCGCGGCCACGTCCGTGCGCGACCTTCGTTATATCGCAAATTGCGAGCGGATAAATCGTTTCTTGCACCGCGTGATTCTCCGCAGGGAAAGGCCCCATTACTCGAGAGAAGGCACCAGAAGCAGTTTATTTAGCCTACGAGCGTTCCGTTGCGAAACGGGAGACAAGATCAATTTCATCTGTTCTGCGTACCGCCGTGTTTCCGTCCGTTCCGATTGGAGAGGCGAAGACTAATCACACGGAAATGCAATGCATAGCTTCGAGCTATCTCAACGACTTTAAATCATCTTGTGAGAAACTGTGTCCATGAAAATCATTAGTTGATAATCACATGAAAAGAGCAGTTTTGCTAAAGTATCTAAATATTTGATTACATATACGAATCTGAAAATATTTTGGTAAATTATCAAAATAATTATATAGGACACTCAAGCTTGTTGCTGCAATGTTGAAACTTTTTACAGCATTGCTCATTATATTTGAACGACCTACATAATTATTTTGATGGTTTAACAAAATGAATTTCAGATTTATATATCTAGATAACTATTTAGATGTTTTAGCAAAATCGTTTTTTTTTGTAGCTGATTTGACATAAACGTTATAGGTTATTAATCGTCGGGTATTATATTTTTTATCACATATTTTGTAAAGATTAATTTGTGTGAAATAATATTAAGAATAAAAATTTACGCAATATCCGCACAGCGTAAAATTAATGTAAAAAATTAATTTTTTGTTTGGCACATTTTCATAATTGATGAAATTGTTGCATTACTTCACGCTCACACAGAATTCGATCTAAGTAACGCTTCAACAAATAATTGAATCTTGAGAAAAAGTTCTAGAGAGATAGGTGCATTTATCTAAGCCAGCCGAGTGATCTTACTTCAACTTAATGACTTTCGACACTCTAACCACGCTACCGTTAATCATTGCATGAATGTGCATATCTCGATGGGACTTGATCAAATAAAATCCTCGGAAGAAATTAACATTCACCCGAGAAAAAAATCTGGTCCCGTCCGTTCCGTCATCTCCCACCGTAGAACAAAACGAGAAAACCTAAACGGTTTACTTGGTATTTCTTCTTTGAAGAAACGTGAGCTTATATCACGGATGTCGATAATCATTAAAGAAAATGTTCTTATTATACACAAGCTACTGAATTCAAAGTCAAATTGCTCTCATCGCCGGATGCGTACAAATGTTAACGCGTACAAATATTACCTCGAATTGCTTCCAACAAATGATAATTTTCGAAACAGTTATCGGAAATAGATTTGTGTTAAATTGAAACTAATAAGTTCTTCGAAGAGAGGAGCCCACAAAACGGAAGATGTTGTCGTGCGAAGAGCTCCGATGGGATCGAATCGGCCGCGCATTCGACACGAAGGAGTATTCCGTGTTATTGCATTTCCTACGTAGTCCAGTACAGTTAATGCCAAAGTAGCCGTAGTTAAGCATAGCAGGAGTCGAAGGTAATCGGCACTTATCGTCCGTAATACATTCCGATGAGATACCGCGGAAGATTCAAAGACCGCCGGTCATTTTCCGCGGAACGTAGATCAGACACCAAGCGCTTGGACCCAGCTTCTTGCCAGAGGAACGATCTCCTAACTACTCTACTGGCCCATAAACGCCGTACGCCACTTCGCTCGTCGGCGTCGGGGTCCGTTCCGTTTCCCGGCAGCATCGTACTCGAGTTCCTGAAATTCCTCAAAAGTGGAATCCGTGAAGAGAAGCAATTTCCCTGCCGATCTATGCGCGCTGTAGGGTGGCAACCTATGTCCCATCGAACCGAACGGCGAGAGGAAGAACGTGGTAGGAAAAGAAGATGAAGAATCGGGAAGGAAGGATGAGGAGGCGGCTGGAATGGAATGGCGATTTTTTCGTTACGGCGTATGGAGGCTGTTCACAACTTCTTTTTTTTCCTTCACCACTAACCACGTGCCCATCCTCCCTTCTCTCCCTTTCCATGCACGGCCGATTCGCCCGAGTAAGTATCTACCTGCTCGTATCGTGCTCGCTGACTGCTCGCTGACAAGCGGCTCAAAGTACAATATCCTTCCCCTCGTCCACCCCCGTCGTCATCTTATTCGGTCTTCTTGCGTCTCTTCTTGCGCGCAGCACCCGTACGCGGATGGAATGCCTCGGGTACCCACGCTCGGACAGGGGAATGAGCTCGTAAAGCGTTAGTCACGCGCTACTCGTGCTGTCTGTTTTTCAGACTTCCTCATCAGGTTCTCTCCAGTCAGAGAGTCCCTTTTCGCCTGCCTGGACTCTCCGGTCTCTGATGCCAACGCCGCGCCGTGCCTCCCTCTTCCGCATGTTTCTTCTCTTCGTCGTGGTCTCGACCCCCGATGCTTTTTCTCGCCCTTTCTCACCGTTCGACCGGTAGCGATCCGTACAAGCTGAGGGTTAAACCGAATCGTTAACGTAGGAGAGGTCAGGGCTCCCGCTCGACAGGATAGTTTTGCATAGTCGTATCTTGCATAGTAGAGGCTGTGTACGCGAGAATATTTTGCCGGAATCCCGCTTCCAACCGCAATGCGCGGGCTAACGGCTTTGAACCTGCAAATCACTACTTGCGACTCGTTAGCGGATTCTTCGTATTCATTTTCCGGACTCTCCGTATAAATTTCATTAGTAGCGTCAGGAATTTAGCATGGGCGACTGCTTATTAGGATTATTAGCGTGAACGATCAAATCTGAACATAGAGATACTCAATCATTTTCTGATACTAATGTAAGCTACGCTGTGTAAAGTATACAATGCTCATAATATATTACATAAGCATTGCGAGACTGTGATAATTCTGAGTAAAAGTAATTGAGTGAGCATTACATGTATTACTTTAATTAAGCGTATAATGAAAAAAAATTTTTTATACATTAAAATGTCATAAAATTGTCACTGCCAAAAATTTTAACATTTTAGCAACTAGTTTTTCCAACAAAATTATTTCAATGGTGTAATAAAATTAGTTTTCAGATTTGCATCCAACAATTTATATTCAGCAAAATTATTCTTTCCGTGTAGAATCAATTAACATTATTCATTATTCATAAAAGACACATATATTTAATTAATTACTAATTCTCAAATAATTGAAAATATAAATAATGTATTCATAATTATTAAAGAAATCATATATTCAATCATGATATATGATAAATCATGCAAATAATAATTATCTATACTAAATTAAAAAAACAAGTATTAAAATTATATTAATAAATTCTTTTCTTTCCTGAAAGGTCGTGTACATTGGCGATGGCGGTAATTACGTGCCAGTTCCTTCATTGAAGAATCGACCGTTGAATCCGAATCTTCAAGCTCTTCAAACTCTTCAAGGCTTGCAGGGCCTTTCTGGAAACGGAGGTACAGGAGTAATCGGTGATGAAGACTGGAGGAGACATCCAGAAACCTGGGATCGCGAACACCGAAGATACAGGCCCAATACGACGAGAGTGCAACGTAAGTACGAAGACAGCGTCTTTTTTTTTATCATCTTGCTGGATTGCATTATTATTATTATATAAACAGAATTGATGATAATATTAAAATAAACGGTTTCTCGTAAGTGCCGTAATTAATAGTCTCAACAATCTGCTTGCGCTTTTTCGATGAGGTAAATTAAATATAAATCAAGTGGATACGCTGTATAAGGTAATTACTCTTCAGCCCGCACAATCTCCCGAGCTAATAGAAATTTCCTGGTTTGTAAGTAGCTGTAATGGCGGCTTGCATCAAGACGCTAATTCAGCGGAAATACGTTACGAAAGAGTATTGATTATGTCGATCTATAGAACCAATAGAAATCTCTATTTGATCGATAATGGATTATCGACTCGATTTAGCTCGTGATTACATTATTGCGTTCACGCATGAAAGAGATGATACTTCATAGAATGTATTTAGAGTAAGAGGACGTTCGAATAATAGGATAGCATAATATCGGGGCGTAAACGAAGATCCGCTATTTCCCGTCCGAATAAAAGCACCGACAAAAAGCGTCTACGGTATCGGTCTGGTGGGTCAGTGTGCCTCGGAGGAAAGAGCGGTGTTGTCGTCGCTTTAGCATGTCGATCCGTTATTTTTCTCTCCATTGTCCGGCAAGAGGCCGAAGTCTGTGAGGATAGCGCGCGTTATAGGACAAAGTACTTCCCTCCAGTGTCTCGGTCGATTGACTTGGAAGAATCGCAGTCGGCGCTTCGCGCAATATATATCCGTCCATCTCGGTCCGCAGCCAGCTAGTGCGCCCGAGAATTCAGAGTGTGATGGCGAATGGCTACCGTTAGAGAGGAGGCAATTAAAACGGTGTCGGAAAGTCGTACGACGCTCCTGACATCGAGGGTACGGAGGCAGAGATACACCACCTTGCTTCCAGCACCTTCGATGGCATCTGCAATCGTCATCATCGTCATCGGGACCCGAGGACCGTCATCATCATCCCGCGCGATCATCATTATCCGCATGTGGATCACGATTGCCTCGTGGAAACTCGAGCACACGGCCCGTGTAAATATATCTGGTCGCGTATATGTTATGGCGCCGGTAATCGACGACAGCTCGTCTCTGACATCGCTTTTTCTACGAGAAAATTGCGACGCCGCGTCGCAATGAAAATGATGTTTATGAGCGGCCGTTACGTTATTTTTTCCTTTTCGTGCCAACGCGTACGATGACGTGAAGTTATGTCGTCGAGTCCGCGGGAATTCTTTGAATGATTTAATATTGTCTTGAATACGTACGGTGTAATGTATGGTGTAATATACTGTGAGATTACATCGAAGCTGCAGTTATTATTTTATGATTTCTTTCGTGCTATATATTCTCTTTTATAACCATCGATTTTCAGTCTAATTTATGTTGCGCTGAAAACGGTATCGAATCGCATTTATACAATGAATTTTCTGTCCTGTTTCAAAATCCTATCTCCACAAAAGCTTAATCCAATGACGTCTCATTAAAACTTTAATCGGTCGCTTCAGTTTTAATCTCATGTAGCGGGTGTGCGGTAGTAATTAATGCCAGTAGAACAAGACATTAATAACGCCGGTGTAATATCCCGTTATGAAAGAATAATAGACAATGTCCTGTGAAAACAAAATTAATTTTCTACGCGTGCGTATAATTTCCTATGTTACGCGTATGTATGTGTTACGCTCATCCGCCGCGTATGCGATTTTTCTGGAACATCGAAGTTTATTGTGGATGCCTGAGCACTCACTGTCCGTGCATATGGCGAGTAATCAACATAGCAGGAGCATCACTGCCTGATGCTCCCGGAGAAAATTATTAAATTGCAGGGTGTTTCATGATAATGTAAATAAATAATATTTACGGGATGGAATTGTATACAAGCCGCTCTCGAGCCCTTCAGTGAATCCTTTTAATTGCCTTTTGCGGAAAATTACGGCCATACTGGAAACTGCGTTGTGAGAAAAATCCTTTAACGACGCATCGTTCCCTTCGCTCATTCAACCAGAACAAAACGTCTATTACACCACTTCTTACATTTTTACCATTTGCAATCGTTTCATATTTCTTAACTAAATAATTATACGGTATTTTGTTTCACTGATACCTATTATTCACTTGAGCTGATACGATCATCTATTATTCATAAACTTTATAAAGAATTAATACGATAGAATTGTAAAATTATAATTCCGAAATATTACAACGTGCGCTTATATACAAAACGTTGCAGCATCGCTTTTTAAATTGCAAGACAATGATTTCTTCCATAGTGTAGGTATCGAGAAGAATTGAGTTATAAGTGATTCACATAAATCTATTTCGCTCTACTTTATTGTGATAAATTATTCTATGCATATTTAAGAAAATTCGATCGTACAATCAATCAGATTCTATTTTTTAAAAGATCGATGTGCCGAACCCCTTCGAGACGACGGGACGATCGATGATCGCATTGCTACGGTAAATTTCCTAAAACATTTGGATGAGCCTGCCATTGGCAATGACGAATGCTACGCCTGATCTATGAAGCTCGCTGGTTCAATGAAGTCGTAAAGTCGAGCCGCTCGTTCTCTGCGGGAACTTGAGGCCACCCGCGGTATCGTCAATTACGCGAAAGAGAGCCCATTAGGTTTAATGTATCCTCCTCGGCAACACGATTCTCAAACGTCCTCGGAGCTTTGCTACTTCTTTCTTTTCTGCTTCTCCCACGAGGTTTTTTTGCTATACGTTCCTTTCTTAGAATGTTTTCCAACCAATTTGGATTCGGACCGACAAATAAAGATGCTAAGCATCAAAAGTTGAAGCCAACATGTTAAAACCAGCACCAGAGTCTTAAGGGAACCCGACGATATCCTCCGCGTCTTTCCGTGACCGCTCTCGGCACATTCGAGCAAATATCGGCGTTGCTCAACTCTTCCCATTGTCTGCCTACTGACAGAGTTTTGCCGGACGATGAACACAAAGCACGTATCCGCAATTCTAATAAGCGCCTGCGTATACGTGCGTATACGTGCGTATACGTACGTGCGGCCGCTCGAAAATGCGCTCGGCACATTCGCGACGGCATGATGCGTAGGACGAGGGTGAAACGGAACGGTTGTATCATCGGCATGCGCCTCCGGTGTAACTATCTTCCCATCACTATCCTTTATTTTTCTCTGAGTCTGTAACAAGCGCATGTTAGCCTTTCTCTCGTCTTTTTTCCAATAATCATATCAAGAATAATCCATTTTTATTTACCAATAAACGTTAATAATTTATTGCAGCTAATTTTAATATTATTGTAAAAGTTTTGTACCATTTTTCTAGACATCTTCTTTACAAAAAGATGCGTCAAAAAATTTATTTGAGATTTAAATTAAATTAATTAATTTTGTGTCAAAAATATTTCGATAGCGATGATATCCTTACATGATATCCAATGATGATATTCAAGTATAGCGTTCGTCAAACATATTCAGGTGTCATGCGAAGATACCGTGTGTCGTACGATGACGGTGTGCGTGGGATGAGCGTGGGTCATGAAACGAAAAGGTTGTATCATCGGTAGACACCTCGAGTGTAACTATCTTCATCCTCCATCAATCTCCATTCCGCTTTGCGGTTACGTTACTACAGTGGAAACGGCTTCTTACCACGAAGAGCGCCTATACGGGACCCCCAACTTACTTTCACTCGTCATCGACGACCGGTTTTCCACTCGCTCCTATCCGCGAATCTGCGATTTTCCGCGCCCGGTTTCTTCATACAAATGACGACAGGCTCTCTTGACCGCGAACATACGCCTACACGATGACCGATCGACACGTTTCCATCTTCTGTGATTGAGTCTCGTTTCAATACGAATGCACATTTCAAAGTGACAATTACCGGGCTCGATATGGTAACGATATTTTTGCACTATCTTGAGAACACTTCCTGAGAAAATTTTTTTTGCGAAAGAGAATTACCTATTGTGTTTCATTAAATAAGATAGATCCTTGGCTATAAAATTTGCCTGTAAAGATCTATCGATTGTAACACCGCAATATGTTTATATTCTTTAAATGTTATTCAAATAGCATAAATATGATTTAACAGACTATATGAAAAAGTTTATTCTTTAATGCATATGTACTTAAAGTACTAAATGTACATATTTTTTTAAACATTTTTACTACATTAATTTATTATCTAAAATTTAATTCTTACTAAATATAGACACAATATATAGACAGACGCGACACATTGATTATTTTTACCTGTTTGTATATACACAGTTTTTCATTTCTCTTTCAACATCAAAGATTCCACCTAGACATTCTTGGTTTCGCAAAGAATTAAAATGCAGATAGAGAGTTTATCATGCTGCTGAATCAACATAATTATACGTATAATGAAATATAAAATAATGGAACGTAGATTTAATCGCAAAAAACGCAGGTTGGAGAAGAAGTGTGTGTAAATAAAAATTAAAATTTATTATACAATTTTTTAAATCGATTTATTGAATAATTATTAATTATATGTTAAATAATTATTTTTTATATCTTACATTTTAGATATCGAGGCGGAATGTCAAGACGATTACATGAAAATCAGGATCGGATTCAACGGATCTTTCGCCGGCCTCTTGTATTCAGCAGGTAAAGTTAATGGCACAATTGACTTATATTAATAAATAATTATTTCTAGCATCGTGCAATTTACTCGGAATTTTTTTTATTAAATACCATTATACTTTTTGCAATATTAATCACATATGCAAGTAGCCAAACAATAACGTAATCAGGTTATAGTTTAAAAATTACCTTTGACAAAAGATTTATATAAATAATGCGACGCGAATTATACAAATGGCGCGGTGTCGAAAAATGGTGCGGTAATGGTGTTTGGAATTTTACGCTCTCCATTACGGTCAAGAGATTCGACATAATGCTACATCTAAAATATGTGACTGCATAACTGGCTGCATTGCTGGTCCGCAATTACGTCGGCAGACAGTGAGACAAGTATACGTTCGCGCTAATGAGGTAATGGCGGAAATTATAGTAAAGCGATCAGCGGTCGTCCACATCGGCCGCACCAGAATTTTTCTTTCACCGTCGTAAGTCCATCTGTCCGGTCTAGTAAGATACTTCCGTTATTTCGAAAGAAGCGTATCGCGGCCGTGCCTTCTGGCAGCTATATGCACCGGCAAAAACGGCATCATCGTCAAGTGATTTCTTTACAAATTATTCGATGAGAAAGACGACCTCTTCTTGAACCTTGCATCTGCTTGATATCCATTCTGCTAATCCGCAATTTTCTCATTGATCATTAATAAGCCCGTTAATCAATATTTCAATAATGAGCTAAGCGCTCATTATTATATAAGCTAACCTTTGTGCCAGCGCGAATGTGGTAGCTTCGTAAAACACTGAGGCTTTTCTGATTGATTCTAGCAGGACAACTAAAAAAGTCAGATTACCTTAATCCCCGACTTCCCAACTCGGGCGCTAACGAGTATACTTTGCGTTCTTTCTTCACTTACTTTTTGACGCCCATTTGTTCGCGATGAAAACGCATCAACGTCCCGCCTATTCTTCGCGCAACGCGATCTATGTAGTCGAAATGCCGCGAGGTAGATTGTTTGATAGACGAGATATCGGATGATATCCGATATCGAACACGGTCGTATCATAGACGACCGCGTTCCGGATGAATAAGAATAATCGCTTTTAATTGCAGGCTACTCGTACGATCCCGATTGCATGTACGTTAATGGGACGGGCCGAGACTACTACGAGTTCTACATTCAGTTGAATCGGTGCGGCACCCTCGGCGAGAACACTCATCATCAGGACAGCAGGAAGAATCCGACGGTACGTAAAATAGACGAGCGCCGAGCGCATCACGGAATGACGGTTCATTACTTTAGTGTGTACCGGCGCCGGTCGACAAGGAATAATAATGATTAACAACACCGGGGAAAAATGAGGGAGACTTCTTTTTAATCTTGATAATTAGAGAAAATTAGATGTCACATCGCGCGTAGATCGCGCGGGAACGTAGGCACCGCTATTATTATGGTTGGATTCACGTGAGAAATAAGACTCAATGACGTATTGCTCTTGTCTTTCCAGAAAAATCTTATGTGGAACACGGTCACAGTGCAGTACAATCCATTAATAGAGGAGGAGTTCGACGAACACTTCAAGGTGACTTGCGAGTACGGCTATGACTTTTGGAAGACGGTGACATTTCCTTTTCTCGATGTCGAGTGAGTGGTGAATCTTTTTACTTTTGAGATAAAGCGTTAATAATGGGTATAATGTTTCAAAACGTTGAAATGGACTTTAAGCGTAGAAACAGTACGAAGGGTCATATCGATCAGAGACACGTGGTTGTTTTCACAGTGCACATTGCACGCGAAGTACACGACGCGACGTGATCCATCGTTTGAAACCTTCGATTACGCGAACTCGATGGAACGTTTCACGCGAGGCGTTTACGTAATATCTACGATAATGTCTAACATCTGTGCTATCCTGCTGGCGCGAAGTAGGCCGTACTGCTCGCGAAATAACGGATACGCATTCTTCCTGCCTCTTACGCACCCACCTTCTTCCAGGGTCGCCACGGGAAATCCCGTAGTCTTCACCCTGCAGCCTCCGGAGTGCTACATGGAAATCAGATACGGTTACGGGACCACTGGAACTAGAGTGGCTGGACCAGTTCGCGTCGGAGATCCCCTGACTCTCATTATCTACATGCGCAGCAAATACGGTAAGCCTTATACGTAGCTTAACTGCAGCTTAACTGCGGCTCCGCCACGTAAAGATCGTCAGAATATATATAATGGATTCGACCTACTAGGTTTACAATGCTTGAAATCAACAACAAAGAAAAGACAATAGAAAACTAATTAAATAACAGTGTTTTTAATACCGAAAATAAGTAATTAATCACTACCTTACAGTATTAAGTTTCTATAATGGATATCAATTAAATTATACATTTATCATCATCTGCGTTTTTACGATGAATTAATTTATTATTTTCTCAGAAGCGCTTTTGAAAATCTAACCAATGCAAGTCTATAATTTAATTGAATCCAATGTTTGTTTGTGTGTGAAACATAATTATAAAAATACTAATAAATTACGTTGTGATGTTATATTTAGCAATAAACCTTCAAGACAAAAAGTTGGTAAAATTGAAACAAAAAACAAATGTGCTTGCAAATTGTTTACAATATGTATTTTCGTGTATTTGTTTTTTTACTCGACGGTCAGCCTAATCATATGACGCCTGATTCTGCCAAGCTATCATTCGACAGCGATAACGGTATAAGATGAACAGCAGAAGACTTTGTCAGTCAGCTAGTCAGTCTGAGCTCGGTAATTTGCGAAAGATGCGGAAATGCTGGCGAGAAGATATGAAAATGTATGTGCTTTGACGTAACGACAGATGTCTGTACTTTAACTAGTCAGGCTTCTGTATTTACGTCTACATCACTTATGTCATGCAAATCTATGTCAGAAGGTAGAGGACGTCAGACCTTATTCCCATCTTGCCGCTTATGACTAATTGATTTTGTTATTGTGATGACATATGTATTTTATGAAGCTAATCATCGCTTTTTATCTAATCATAATGAATCTTTAAGAATAGAATTTTTTTTAATCTTTAAGAACAATTCTCTACATTTCTACATTAAATTTGCTTAAGTCTTCTGCAATTTATGAGTTAGCACATTTTATAACGTTTTAAATGTTATCGTTTTTATAGATGGTGATAGATTATTGATGATTTTCAGATAAACGTGAATATTTACGCCGATTTTTTTTTGTAGATGGTTTTGATATCGTCGTAAATGACTGCTACGCTCATAATGGCGGAAACAAAAGGATTCAACTGATCGATCAATACGGATGTCCGGTTGATGACAAACTAATCAGCCGGTTTCGTGGTTCATGGTCGGAGAGTGGCCTGTTCGAGACGCAAGTTTTTGCTTATATGAAGACCTTCAGGTTCACGGGATCGCCGGCTCTGTATATCGAATGCGATGTTCGCATGTGCCACGGAAGATGTCCGGTAACTAAATATTTTTTAGCACGTCACTACTTGATTTCATTCCATTCTTAATCTATTTAAATCAAGTAGTAAGCAGATGTTATTGTCATCATTTTGACATCAAAATGTCATAGTAAATGTCGTTTTAATATCAAATTGATGACAAATTGATGGCAAATGGCTCTAGTTTGCTATCTGATTATCTTTTTAATTTGTTTAAGTGTTACGCTCATTAAATTTAATTAAATATTCCAGAAATTATTTACTTTTAAAATAGTTTAGTTATTAATACCTTTGTCATAAACATAAAAATTTAATATTTTGTTGTCTGTGTGTGTGTGTGTCGTGTTTAATCGTTTGGGTATATATTACACACTTCCGAATTTTTGCAATTAAATTGAACTTTTGTAGAACAATATAAAAAAGTACTCTGAATATTCTAATTTTCAAACGATGTTTTCATGCTACTTTGCACATTTCTGTTATTCGTGCCTGAAAATAAATTAGTGTCCCAGTTTTATAAATATCTTTAATTTAAACGATTCACACCCGTATTTCAGAGCCAACCTTGCCATTGGAGGAACGCGAAGAATGTGGTGAAGCGGTCAGTGTCGGAAATCGATGGACCATCGACGCCAGCATCTAGTTTGTCGGAGAACGTGAATCTCTTCCAGTCTCTTCGTGTTCTTCAGGAATTGCGTCAAACATAACATTTTACTGTTAGAACAATTACATGTCAAGCCATGCATTTATCACAGCTTCGTTCAGTAAGAGATGCTCTACTTTTTTTTGTTATAATTGCGTAATGGCGAGCACCGATTTGAAATGAACGAAGCTTGCATATAAAATTTTGCAAATTTTAATTTATACTTATACTTATAAATTTTAACTTATACTTATAAAAAGCAAACGTTTAATATGCATATCTCAGTGTTAGATGAGGCATTAGAATTATTATAATTACAATCTTTTTAAATTTGCATTTTTTTTTACACAGGATTTAGCGAGCCTACGACTGACAGAGTATGTTTGAGATCTACAGTGGCCAGTACAATAGTGGGACTCGGCTGTGGTTTCTTCTGTATCATGGCCGGTATGATACTAGCCATGTGTTCGCGAATGCGACGACAAGCGCGAGAAAAATTATTGTCGGACAGTATAAGCTATATGACGCACCAAGGTCGAATCAACTAGGGTAACATTTTTAGCATGGAGAGATCTATTTCTTCTCGCTTCATCTCAATCGGTTGCGATATCCTCGTATCTTTCGCAGCAAATGGAGCTGGCTAAGAAACTGCTCCGCCGGTAATATAAGAATGCGTCGTTAAAATAGGAAATGGTCGATATAAATGACTGAACTTCAAGTTACTGATAAGTTGACATTGATAAAAATGCGATTAAAACGCGGTGATAAATTTATTGTTTTTATAAATCGGAAGAATATCAGATTTGTAAACAAGAGTTTGGGAAGAGTCTTTTTACATACTCTATTCTTCTCTCAATTAACTTCTTAAGGTAAGCATGGGATTGATACAATGCGAAGTGCCTTATGTATTTTGATAGTCGTCGATAATTCAGGCTCCCATGGATATAATAGGTCTCATCGATTCATTGTGTGCGAATGCTTTTTTACATAAATAATATTCGCTGCTATACTCTCGCTTCTTTTAATTATTGAAGTGTTAATCGATACTCATTCGTCAATTGATGTATATGTCGCGATTGAAGTATCTGTGGCGAGTTATCGCTCATCGATAAATAGAGGTAGAAATCGTCGATATTGCCACGATCTCGGTGCCGAATGTGCGGTTAACGGAATTCGATCTTTACTGCGTCGATCGGTAATTTAACACAGTTTACTTGCGATCGACATGGTATCTTCTTCTTTTTTTATTGTCTTTTTTGATCCCGCATACGGCACATTTAGAGATCAAAATGAACGTAACGTCAGTAACGACGCTTAATTTGCCGTTGATAAGATTCAGTAGTTATATGTGTCTCTATCTATGACATTACTCGCCATATTCAGGAACGTGAAAATAAATTTTGCTAACGATTCGATTCACTCTATAAGTCTATAAAATAATTAATACGTGAAATGATGAATAAAAAAAATAGAAAGAATATCTAATATTCAATTTAATAAAGTTAAACGGAGAATATAAACATTTCACTAATTAAAGTGTTAATTAAAAATTATCTTTTACAACAAAAGAATTATAAAAACGCTATAAGATAAAAGGAATTGATTTTATTAATATAAATATATTTGTTTTTATTAAAATATTCACATAAACCAATTACGTATAAAAAAATATACATTCTTCTGCAGTTTTTTCATGTATTAAATTAATGTATAATTAAAATATATCATTGCACAGCATTGAAAAACAAAGCAATCTCATAATTCTTAGAAATCAAATAACTTTATGTCATTTTGCACTTAATCGAGATGCATATATTTATTTTACAAGAAGCATGAACAAAAATTAAATTATTTATTTAATTGATGACCTAATCTCGTCGTTCCTGAATGTTCGTGAATAATGTGTTAAGGTTTAACTGAATATCAATTATATAACACAAACGAATATGCTTAAGTTTATATATAATACTTATATATACATAGCATCAAAGGTGCGAACCCTATACTATAATAGAAGGAAAAAGAATAGAACACAAGAAAATTACATGGAATCGCATCGGGTGTACGGCCAGCGAGGATTAAATAATATTTTACAAAACCGCCCCGCCAAAGAGTCGCGTAGCTCAGTTCTCGTCTTAATATTTATTCAGAAATTTGCCGAACCTCGCGCGATTTTTCGCCACTGTGTGTGAAATATTAATTTCCCCTCCTGGTTGTTCCCCTCTTTACACGTTTCGTATAACTTAACATTACAGCATCTTTCCGATTCTCATTGCTCCACATTGATCCCAAGTTCCCGTGTCCCTCTCCCTTCCGTTATTCGAGCATCAAGCTAAGTATCCGGAATCAACTGCTCGATTAATTATCTGTAAATATAGTGTTGTATCATGACTCATAATATTTATGATTAAGCTCGAGTGTATCAAGGTTTCCAATAAATAATAGAAGAAGATTACGTTCTGACGTGTCTTATCTGACGTTCGTACCTCGTATATAAATACAATGTTGGTCTCTTACTAACGGGAATGACTTATGATATTAACGAATAAGTTAAAAGCGATCTTATCTCAACCAATCTTAAAAAAATTTAAAGAATTTATTCTGAAATTATATTTTATTTTTGGTGCAATCTTAAAACAAGAAGCAACTGTTTTAATCAAAGTTCTATTTATATCTCTTTTCTCTCTTTCTCTCTTTTCCTTCAATAAAGGTTTGGTTTTATTTTCTATTTTAATTTACATCCGTTTTATGATTTACATTCTATTATCTGATAATAATTTAAAATGTATGTGTCATTTTGTTTAATCAGTAAAATTATATATATAATCGCATATAATCTATAATAATATATAATATATATTTGTATTATTTATATTCATAAATGTATATGCCATTCACGATGACATATGTGATCGCTCGCGAAAGGATCTAGAAACCGGCGTGACGAAAGCCTGAGATCTACCTGACTGATCTTGAAAAATTTCAGATGTTTCGGGTCATAATGGTCACGGAACGGAACAAATCGTGTTTCTCCAACAGAGCATTCGTCTTACGAGATGGATCCAAAAACGTCGGTCAATCGCCGCCCATAAATGGGGTACCCTGATGAAAAGTGAAAACTCCTTGCAATATCTCATCCGCAAGATGAACCGTGACCGTCATTTATCGTTCGATCCCTCGATAACGAAAGAAAAATGCGCTAATCGCCGAACGGCCGGTTCTCGATTCAACCGACATGAGAAAAACATTATTCGAGGACAGTTTCCGCTTTAATTATTTATAACATTTAAGATGAAGTGACGGACAGGACGGATCTTAATGATTGAATTTATATGGCACTATTTGTTTGAACTTAAAGACAATTAGTTGATAAAAAAGGCTGAGCAGTGTAAAATTTTGTGTATTAGATACAAAATGAAAATAAAACAATGTCAATATGTATTCTACATCAAAATATAAAATGATATATAAATAACATATTCTTCTCTCTCTCTCTCTCTCTCTCTCTCTCTCATTATAATATATTTATTAATTAAGAAGTAATATTATTATAACAAGTTTTTTTCAACAAGGATTTATATTATATAAGATGAAATAATCTTTGATATTGAATTGGATTTTACTTGACGTTATTAAAAAAGAGAAAAAATATATCACACGTTATCGCGATTAATTATCTATTTGTTTGTGACCTAATTATCTTTGTATGCATTAACCAAATCTCAATGTCGCCAAATTCTTTCCAAAAAAGAGGCGTTACCAGCCATGGACCTTATTGTACAGCAAAAGGGCAATCATCCGCAGTAACGAACTGTCTCGCCCGCCTACCATGCGGTAATTAATCAAGCCACAATAAATTAATTGCCGCTCCGGCAAGAATTAATTGCCATCCCGACAATAATTATGGCTAACGCAGAAATAATTATCGTGCATCCCAGCAGAGCGTTGATCCTCGCCCAACGATAATCCGCGCTCGTAATTCGATACATACGTATATCACGATCGATCGTTCCCTGTGCGCACGACCTCTTGTAAAACCAATTTAATTTCAATAAAATAATCTTTTTAAATGTGCAGAAATCACTCCGAGACAAATTTCGTAATAATGTCCAGATAAAATTATTCTGTGAACGAGAGAGGAAGGGACAAACATCCCGGTAAAAGATACATTATATAAGTTTGTGCTATTATTGTGGATTTTCTGTAAAAAATACAATAATAATAGTCCGTAATCAATTATTATTTTAGAGAATTACACAGCTATTTTGCTATACAAAAATGAATAATATTAAACAAATTCATTAATATCACCGTTTCTATTCTTGCAAATAAACTTCCGAAAACGTAATACCTCCGAGAAACGATGGTGTTTTCATGAACGTCTCTCACTCATTCGGGAAAGACGTATGCATAAGAATGTATACATTCTTACAGTTCTCTCAGTTTCTTATAAGAAAAGGAGAAAGATAAAGAACTGAGAGATAGATAGGACCGTGAGAAGAAGAAGGGGAAGAAGGCGGATATCAAAATGAAATCTCAGGCTAATAAATACTCGGTTATCGCGGGTAATCGAGTTATCGCGCGATACGGAGTCGAGAGGCGGGGTTTTACTGGGTGCGAATCACCAATACACCGTCGACCCGCACGTACGCATAGTATACACACGAAAGCCTGCATATGTATCCGTTTTACTTGACGTGCCACCGTGTGTATCCATACCGTGGCACGTGTGTGAGCTCGGCACCGCACTCCTTTTACATACGCCTAAATAAAGTAGAAGTGTGGAGTGCCGAGATAGCGCCTGACGGAAGTTACGTTTGGCTGCGATCGCGTTCTCTGGGTCACGCATCGTCGTACCAAAGTTTCTTGCATTATCTTAAAGGGGGACTATCTCCATCAAAATACTAATGATGTAACAGCACGGTCGCACGGCTACACTGAGAAAAATTTCCGGACTTTATCCGTTCAAAAAGTAACAAACAGATATTTCCGATTGATTTTGATCGGATTTATAAGACTATCCGATCAAATTTATCGGATAGTCCTATAAATGCGATAAATTTGATCGGATAGTCTTATAAATCCGATCAAAATCAATCGGAAATATCTGTTTGTTACTTTTTGAACGGACATTTTTCTCAGTGTATAAATTGACTCGCGAAAATAAAATAAAGCATCAAATTCTTTTGGCCGCTGATTCAGTCTATAATTTGCAGAGTTTATATAAAGAAATATTACTAATCATTTTTGACGCACGAGAAATATACATATAATACTTTTCTATAAATTTATAAAAGAGATAATTATTTTACCTCTAATTGTATAAATATATTTTTATATTAGATGGTAAATTATATGTATACATATAGTAACAGTATATTTTATAGTTTCTGTATAAACGTACAAATTTTTTTAATATTATATAACATAATGATAGTAGATCGCACATATTACATTTGCATTCAATATTCGTACATATCAACATTACAGGTTAAAAAAAATTCATTGGCGAATTAATATGTAAATATATTTCTATAAACTTAACTTTAATTATAAATTTACTTTTGCAAATTATTTAATTACTGTAGGAAAGAATAATTTTATTTACAAATTGTAACATTACATTTGTATAAATATACACCTTTAATAATTAGATTCAAAAATTATTTACTATAATTGTTGTAACTTTATATATAATTTGTTTATAGTGTAAGACTTCAATAAGTTAATATAGCGATTTATTCAGCAATCATTTCCTTGTTAAGTCTGAAAAAAAATGTGATCGTCGATCATAAACACATTATCTTATCATCTCTTTTACTCTATAAAAAAATATTTTACCTTCATCGGACAATGCGATCGATTAAACGATATCGTTTCCAATCGAATCGTTTCGTTGACCACGGCTGTCTGTTTTTCATTGCAAGCCATAAATAAGATTGTCGGGCGTTTGCCAGAGGTACTTCCCCGTCAGATAAGTCTGATAGATGCACCTCCGTGATTTCCCTCGCGAATATAGCTCTCGAGTCTTCTCGCGTGATCCCACGAAATTTAGCGCCTGCAGCGCGG